GCATTACACAATATTAAATGAGATAATGCATGTTACTTGCTTAGCACAGTGCCTCATACATAGAATGACCTAATAAACGTTAACTATTTTACTCTACATACCTCTCTTTTAACATTCCTAACTTTCTACATTGCCTTACAGTTATTTGCCTGTGTTGCATCTCCTTGTCTAAACTCTAATTTCATGAAGTTTTGGGGCTATGTCTAATTTATCTTTGAACTCTCCCCAGTCCTTATGTGTACATAGATTGTCTTATACTATACCTATATATTTATATTTTTCACACCACATGTATCATACATACAGATTTTTCATACTACATTTATACATTCACATATATTTATATTTTTCATACTTTTCTGCTCATTTATACTGAAAAATATGGCATAAATGAAATATATAACTATATATTTGTCTACCTGTATCCCATATTTACCATTTATTGCCTGAATAAATACAGTGTAAGTAAGGTGTGACCATATAATCGTGAATCCTACGCTCTGTGTCTTATGGAACCAGTTTAATTACGGTTGCATGTTTCCTAGTCTATTCCTTTCCCTAATAAGAAAAAGTAGCATAGAAACTCTATTCTACTCTCTGCTCAGGCACATTAGTCTTGCCTTTATCTTGGTATACTTGTGAACAATGAAAAATCCTAGCTAAAAGCCACAAAACGAATACAGTCATTTCAGTACTGAGACCAGGCATTTCTTTTGTTTTGGGGTTTAGTGGCCCTAACAGAGGGACGACCACAGGCATTTTGGCTTGTGATAGTGAAAGGAGCTCCTCAGCATTCTCCTTGCTCATCCCACACTGGTTTCACACTATACATTTCACTAGTGTCTGTTCAGTCTCCCTAATCAAAGAGTCATTAGGATAAAAAATAGGGCTTCTATTTCATTAGTGTTTTTCCTTAATTCTATCACATTAAGTAATGCCTGACCACTTAATTTCTGCAAGGCAAACTGTTCCTACCATCTTTAAAGGGAAATCCAAGTTATTTGACCTACTAAAAGATTATGTCAGTGAAAGAAGCCACACCCAAGAGTACATATTGAATTATTCCATTTACATAAGGTATTTAAAACAGGCAAAAGGAATATATCTGTTGGAAGTTAGGGCAGTGGTTACTCTTGGGGGGAACACAGTCACTGGAACGGTTGGGAGGGATGCGGTGACTAGAAGGAAGTAAGGGACATGTTTTTAGGGTATTGGTCATATTCTACGTCTTAATCCAGATGCTGGTTATTCAGTCGTGTTCAGCTTGTGAAAATGCATCAAGCTTAAAATATGTGCACTTTTCTGTATTGATATTTTATTTTATCTCACTAAAACATTTGGCTCTGTGTTAACTCTGCTTAAAGTAAGTAGGAAACTAGGAAAACTTGGAACTTGGGCATCTTTTAATCAAACTATGTGTTAATGTCATGTTAAAGATTTTGTTATATGCCTCATGCTCCTGGAATGAGTAAGGCAGCACATTTTTATTGCACAGATTGCCTATGTGCCATTTATTTATTTTTAAATTTTATTTTCAGTCCTGAATGAGTCTATGAGCGAACCAAACATACTGAAAAGTTCAAGTTAAGTTCTGTATTTTCACCTTCTTAATAATATCCTCAACAGAAAATAATCACAAAAACACAGAAAATGACTTCTCCAGGGAAGAGAATGTGCATGGGATGCCACTTCCAGAATTATCTCTTTCATAAAGTACTCCTTCCATATTCTAGAAGAATTATAAATTAACATTACAACTTCAGAGATCAGTAACTACAATATGAGAGGGACAACAGTGGAAAGAATGTCCAAAGATTTAATTTACTAGCAGGAAAGAGCACTCAGAGAAAAAAAAGACTGAGAACACTGAACTCTCTTGAGAAATGATGGAAAGACCACTTTCCACCACATAAATGAAGGCAGGGCTGGAACAAACATTAATTTGCTATTAGTTAACCTCCCCACTCTGCCTATTTGGGCCCAATAGGAATGTCACCCACTAGGTGGACCCTGGAGTCCTCTCCCCCACCCCCCACCAAAAAAGTCACTTTTCCTATTTGGAATAATGATCACATTCTCCAAGCAAACCGACTCCAGGTGTTCAACCTCTGACAAACCGACTGCTATTAAGTAACCTGGATGGAATCAGAGATCAGAGAAAAGATGTTCTCTCAAAATTGGCCTAAGGTGAACCAAGGAAAGAGGGAGTTTATCGCAGTTGTCAGATTTAACTTGCCATAGTCAAGGATTGCTAAGTCCTCTGAACAACAAAAGAAAGGAATTCAACTACCAATAATGAAATGTATTTTGAAACTAACTAAAAAGAAATATCCCCGACTCTTCCTTTCAAAGCTAGTGTTAGGGATACTCTGGCTGCATAGACAACTCATGAAATCTGTACTGCATTTAAAGGCCATCCTTAAACTTCAGTATGTTCCCAACTGCAAAAGTAACATATAGTATCACACACTCCTGTCTCTAAATAGCTTCAAACTCCCCCCCCACCCCCCCACCCCCACTCCACCCCAACAGCCTTCATTGTGGCAGATCCTTTTTCTGCAAATCTTTGCAAGTTGCACCTGTTTCACACATCACCACTGGAAGTAAGCCTGGAGGAGGGAGAAGAGGAGGAATGGAAAGATGCAAACCAATATAAATCAATTTTACACCAAAAAATGTTTCCTAGTTTAGTGTAAAAAGTGAGGTCCAGGGGTGAACGTGACAGTGGGAGAAACGAATGTCTGGCTGACTCTCAAGGCAGAAATCACGACTCATCAAAGCATTCAGAGGGGAGAGAAAGACACTTTGCATTTGTCTTGGGTTCACCTTCAGGGCAAAAAATGCTCTCTGACCTGGGAACTGGGAAACTTGACTGTTTCTCCTGCGTCTGTGACAATTGGTTGTGAGGCCTTGGGCAAAACCTCTAAAAGTCTCTGGGTCTAGGTTTTCTCATCAGTAGGTGATCGGCAAGGTCCTATCTAGCTTTAAAAGTCTATACTTGAGATTCCCAGTTCCTAAAGGGAAGTGGTCCACTGGGGGGAGCTGCAGAACTTCCCTCTCCTCACAAACTCCAGGGCCCCCGGCCCAGATGTGGGGAGATGCTGATGTCCTGGAAGTAGGCGTCGAGAGGGTGCAAAGCCTTCCTCCCTTTAAAAGGGAGCCCGCAACTGCAGGAGTCCAGTCTCTACCGACGCTACTCCCTGCGATTCCAGAAGCACCCTCCACCCCACCCCCTGCCCCGGGTTTAGATGCTCCAGGGATAAGGCCGAGCTGAAGCCTGGGAAGCATAGCAGGGGAGTGAGGAAAACAGAGCAGAGAGGTGGTGGCCTCTTCAGCCAGGAGGAGAGCTGGAGAGATCAGGAGAGTGCTGGGGACCCGCCGGGCTGGGAAGAGGAGCGTGGGGCAGGGGAGGAGGTAGGCAGCCCTTGTCTGTTCCCGACCACCCTAGCTTGGCCCGCGGGGATTCGAGGCCCGCGCCCCTGGGCTCTCTGGCGCGGAGCTAGGGGCGGGTTCGGGGGCGGAGGCGACGGGCACCAGCTGGGGGCACAATGCTGCGATCCCGTCACTCCCCAGCCGTCTCTGCCCCTAACCCTCGGGCCGGTCAGCGAGAGAGCGCCGCAAAACAAAACAAACTCGTGCCGGCTTCCTGTTGTGCAACCCAGTCCTGAGTAAGTCGGGGCCGAAAGGGCAACGCCGCTGGCCCGTCGCTGGGAAGCCCAAGCGGCGGGAACCAGCGCGCTTGCCTAGCCCGGCCCAAGCCCGGATCCGGGGGGAGCTTCGGCTCCGCTTTCGCTGCTCTGGGGAGCGCGCGGTCCCGGAACCCCCACCGAACTAGTGTCCTAACCCTCCAGTCTACTTTCACTTCTTGCCTCCCAAGCACCCCAACAGGTCGAGGGCGCGACCTGCGAAGCCAGAAACGACATTTCCCAAAGTTTCTCCTTCCAGATACCTAATTGAATCACCCATAGGATGACAAATCCGTCAGAGCCAAGTTTTCCAGACACTTGGGTGACTTCCTCATCCCCGAGGTGACTTGTCAGCTCCAGTGAGTAACTTGGAAGTGTCGCTCGGGGCAAGGTGTGTGTCTAGGAGAGAGCCGGCTGCTCACTCACGCTTTCCAGAGAGTGGCCCCGGGCCGACTTCAAAATACACACAGGGTCATTTATAGGGACTGGAGCTGTGCGCAGGACAAAGTCCCCGAGACTGAGACATTTTCCAAACAGTGCTGACATTTTGTCGGGCCCCATAAAAATGTAAACGCGAGGTGACGAACCCGGTGGGGAGTGTGCGCGTCTGAATGTGTCTGAGCATTTTGCGGCGTGGGAGATTATAGTTATAGACCTGGCGGCTGCGGGTCACCGGACCCATTCCCGCGACGAGTTACTGTACCCCAAACCCGAGGACCTCCCAGAGCATTGGGGACGTCGGCTTGGGGGAAACCCAAGCGTGGAAAACAGACTTCGTGGAGCTCCAAAACACGTGGAACTGGAAAAGACAACTGCAGCCCAGCCCCGTGTGCGCGCGCGAGACCTCACGTCACCTCATCAATTCCCACTTCTCCAAACTTTCCCTTCAGTGGGGACTCATGGGTGCCGTACCCGAGCATGCCCTTGCGTCCTGTAACTCGCCCTGACTTTGTAGCCCTGTGGCCCTGTAGTTTAAAAGAAAAACAAAAACAAAAACTCTTCCTAATTAGAGAAACTTTAAAACCTTGTTGATTTCTTTTCCGTCTTCTACACTGGGCGCTCTTAGGCAACTGACAAGAACACAGCTTGATTCCTAATTGAAGGTTGCTATCTATCTCAGTAAACAGATCTTTCACAGAATCTGGGGGTGGGGTGCGCATATCCTTAAGCCCGCGCGAACGCCACCGGCTCAGCGTGGAAAACTATTTCTAACCTCTAGTTTGTGTCTCTGAGCGTTAACTCCCCCACATTCTCAAGCGCCGGGTTTCTCCCAGTCTCTCGCCTGCGAGCAAAGTTCCTATGGCATCCACTTACCAGGTAACCGGGATTTCCACAACAAAGCCGGGCGTGCGAGTCCCTTCCCCCGGCCAGCCTGTGCGAGTGACAGCGGGCGGCCAGCACTGGCGAGGAGAAACTTGGGGCTCTAGCCCTTCAGCGCGCTCCACGGGCTCTGCCTCCTTCGGAAATGAAAACTCCCATCCAAGCCGGGGGACGGAGCGCGGAAACCCGGCCCAAGTGCCGTGTGTGCGCGCGCGTGTGCGAGGGCAGCGGCGGCAGGGGGAGGAGGAGACAGGAGGGTGGATGGACCCTAGGCATCAGCTCATTCTCCCCCCAACACACACACACACACACATACACGCGCAAATAATGTTTTAAAAAGTTGAGTTTCGACTTTGTGCCTCGCCTGTCCTGTTCATCCTCGCCTTGGGCCGGGGGATGCGTCTGGGAGCCGGCCGGGGATGCTGGCTAAGTGCTTTCGGCGGGTTCCGTCCGGGAGCGCTGGTGCGAACCTGGACGGCTGCAGGCGGCTTACGCGGGACGCGGGGAGGGGCGGCAGTGGTAGCCCCCGGCGCTGTGCCCGTGCGCGCCGCGCTCTGGGCTGCCCCGGCGGCGCAGTGTGGACGCGGCTGCAGGGAGAGGGGAAGGGGGAAGGAGGGAGGGAGAGAGGGTGGGAGGGAGGCGGCCCGGCGAGGAGTGTTGGATGTGCGTGCGGCCGCGAGGGCCGGCCTGTAGCCAGCTGCTTCCTGAGTGTGAGCGCCGGAGGGGGAGGGGGAAAGAGTGGAGGCGGGCTCGCTGGTCACCGGGCTGGCCAATTCGAAGGCCGGCCGAGCTAGTGTCTCCCTCTCAACGTGTTCACACACATTCTCCTTCCAGTGCGCCAGGGAGTCGAGGAACTCCAGAACAGGGTAATGTAAGGGAGACACTTCGCCTTCTTGTTGGCCCTTATTTGTTGAACTAGTTTTTTTCTTTAACATGAAAAAGTGTCAGCGTTCTGACAGGATTTGATGTCAAATCGTAAAGAACAAGAGAAAAAAAAAAGAAAAACCCACTAGTAAAACGGAGAGAGTAAAAACTAAAAAGTGAAAAATGGCAATAAGGTCTTTCTAATATACAGGATTGGAAGCACATAGATACTTTGAAAATGGATAGGTGAAGCACAGAGGATGCCTTTGAAATCTTTTTAAAATAAAGTATAGGCAGAGAAGACAAAGGTGATGGAAGTGTTACAACGATGTAAAATTCTAAAGACACGCTGCTAGGAATGGAGGCACATTCCTCTATATATTGCATCTATATAGTGGCACTTTCTCCTTAAGAATTCAACATCCTCAGCTTCCTACCCCACCTAAGCTGTGACCCAGCCTTTCTGCTTGGCTTGATAGAGCCCTCAAGAAGTTGTCCCTAGAAGAACAGCTCTTGGTGGTTCCCTACATGTATTGATTGCCACAGATGCACTGACTTCCGTCTTGGGAACGGAAGGCATATAATATCCTCCAGTTAGGCCTTTCTGCAGTGACAGTACTTATTATTCACTCTCATGAATGAAATGAATGAGGGTATCTCCGGACATTTAGAATGTTACCAGTCCTTATATTCTATTCTAGGGCGCTCACTCAAATACAAATTAGCATTCAGGTAGTAGATGCTATGATCAAGACAGAAGCCCTCAAGTACACAAATGACTTGCCTCAGAAAACCAAACCAAAAATATTGTTGACAATTTTCATTTAACTGACTTCAGAAAGAGTATTACTAGAGTTGGTCTGTATCCATGATATTGACAACACCCAAAAAGGTCCAGTTTTCACAATACATCTTCCTATGTCTTGTTATAATTCCCTCTTCAAGACTCCCTTTAGGGAAGGCATTTTTTCTTTCCTAAAGACAAACTCATCAGAATACTAATGACCAGGATATCTGTCAGCAGAAGTGGAGGGAGGGAAATAATAAGTGCTTAGGATATATCATTCTGTCAGTTTTCCAGTTTCTCCCTGTGTTCTTTATCTCCTTTTAAATGCAAGTATCCAAGCCCAAGAAGGCAATAGATGGGTTCAATCACACACAAGAAAAGAAAATATTCATAAAATCAAGCATGCAGCTACATCACAAAAACTAAGAAACCAAGTGGTGGAAGTTGCCATGACTATTCCATTGTGGCTAGTTATTGCAACATGCCTGACATTCACATAAAAACTCTTCATCATTAACGCCAGCCTTCAGAAGCAGAGCAAAATGGGAACACTGACCCTTCAATGCATCACAGGAAATTCTCATGATCCAGACTCTCATGCTGTAGAGGCTGCTCCCCAGGAACAAGACAAGCCTGGATGGAGGCTACACAAAACCTTTCCAACACCCCTCAAATATCATTTCAAATACAATGGTTTTGATGCATGAAATGATATCCTAGGGCCTTGCAGAAGTTTCCAAAACTTCCCACTTGATGGGAATAGCTTAGCTGGAAGAGAAAAACATAGTGCTACACCCTACTTTAATCAATGGCTCATGGAAATAAAAAAACACTGGGGAAGTTATTAGTCATCAACATGGAGATCCCCAAAATTCTCTTCACTTATAAAAGCCCAAGGATGGGAATGTCATTTTTTATTTAGGTGAGATTTTCATGAGCCTCAAAAATACCTAAGACATTACCACTAAATAGGTACAGTGCTTTGCTTGACTTTTTTTTCTTTTGGCCAGGAATGTAGATCTGCAGTGTCCTTACATTCCACAGGATATAGTAAAAATGCAGCACTCGCAATAGAACCCTGGAGTGACTCAGAATGAGATCTGAACCTTTTCTGGACTGAATTGGTCAACAGGGGTGGGGGAAGGGAGAGTAATGAGAGTGGGAAAGGAAATAGTGTAGTTCAGCAATGACACTCTCCCTTCCCCATGAGCTCTCTGTCATGCTTAGGACTCATCTCCTGGCAGCCTTTCAGCCAGATAGCTGGGAATTGCAACCCAGTTGGTATCTTCCCTCTCTGGAGTGGTCAGTTGTATGCATCGCAACCGCTGACTCAGGGCAGCTGAATCAGCAGACAGGGCCTTACCGCCAGGTCAAGTCCAATTCTCATTCATTTGAGAAATATTCAGTGAGTATCTACTTTGTCCCAGGATTTGGGGTAAAGGAATTAACACTTATAGGTATAGTAACATGAGAGGATGTTTCATAAAGCTTTTCGTCCAGTGGCTGGGATACAGCAAAACCTCAAGAAATGGTGGTCCTCTGAATATATGATCTCATATGCTGCTCAAAGCAATCATATGAGATAGCAATCATATGAGATAAATGGTAATCTCCCATTTAGAAGGAAGGAAGCTGAAGCTCAGTAACCAATTAAGGAGAGTGGGAGGCAGAGATTGGTTTGTCAGTCTAGAAGCCCCAAGTTCTTTCAACATTGCTATCCTGCAAAATAACTGCATGTTCTTTGAATGCGTGCAAAGTACACCACAGGTGTATAAAGTGCAAGGCATCTTGTGATTTATGTGAGGTAAGCACAACTGAGTGTGGAAGAGGCAAGAATAATTTCCTACAACAATATGGAGTAGTTTGGCTGTTTGAAGTGGACTTCAAAAAATAGGTAGAGGGGCCGGCCCCGTGGCTGAGTGGTTAAGTTCTTGGACTCTGCTTCAGTGGCCCAGGGATTTGCCAGTTCGGATCCTGGGCACGGACATGGCACTGCTCATCAGGCCATGCTAAGGCGGTGTCCCACATAGCACAATCAGAAGGACCTAAAACTAGAATATACAACTATGTACTAGAGGTCTTTGGGGAGAAGAAGAAGGGGGGGAAAAAAGAAAGAAAGGAAGATTGGCAACAGAAGTTAGCTCAGGTGTCAATCTTTAAAAAAAAAATGGGTAGAGAATTGATAAGCAAAGGAGACCATTCCAAAAGGAGGAATCAGCATCAGAAAGGGGACAAAAGGCCTAGATCCTACGTATCTGCTCACACAAAGCTAGACTACAAAATAGGAACATTCCCACTCTCATAGCTATAGCAGTGGAACACAACGGACTCCCAGAGGGAACATCCTAACTGCAAACCTTCAGAAGAACTATTATTTGTGTCAGTCTGAGTGATCTGACAGCAAACCATTTAGAAATTTGCAAAGAACTATCATCAGATTCCTACTCCTGTAAAGTGTCCATAGAGAGAAACAAGTTTTAACACCAAAATGCAGATAAGTTGAGCTAACAGCACCAGTGATAGTATGCCTAGCTATTAAAACATACACACACACACACACACACACACACACACACGAAAGCTGGCAAGAGTCCAATTATGTAGAAATGCAGTGGAAAAAGTCAGTGTTTGCCAACTTAAAGAGGGGAACTAAATGTGTAAGATGGAAAATTTCCATTTTACCTCCCTAAGCGAGTAGTACAAATAGTGGAATGTTATCAGTGCTTGATACCCTAATAAAACTTTTAAGCCGATCTTTCTACTAATTTTGCCATAAGTGCAGTCAGCAGACTCTCTTGCTTACACATCAGTGATACAAATTTTTTAAGTTATTGACATCCATTACATTCATAGCATCATAACTCTTTTCCTTTCTAAGGTCAAAACTGTAAATCAGAGTCTAAAATGTATCATTCCACATGCATCTAACCAAAATGTCAAATATTTTACTCCATACAATGTCTCCCCATCTTTTTTGATTGGTAAAATTTTTCTTCCCATTTTATACAAACTAGATTGAGATGTATCTAATTTCTACAAAGGTTGATGGGATATTCCCTGACATTTTATTAAGGTATATCTACAGAGAGTTTACCAAGATAAAAAGTAAATTCATAATATACACAACATTCCACAGTCAGCCAGTTTCCTACTCTTTTACCACTTAGCATCCAAACTAGCCATTTATATGTGGTGTTGTAAAATTAATTACCTGATCATGATGCTATTTTATCCATAACTGCCTTCCATGAGTTCCTTCTAACAGCCAAAATTTACATTTCTTCAAAGCCTTTCATGGCCTAGCAATACTGCTTGGCACTAGTAAGTAATTAATGCTAACTGAATGACTTAATTGATGAGGAAGTGAAAGAATGCCTACTTTCAGAGATGGTGAATAGCACTAACAATTGTCTTTGTGTATGCATGTAATCATTTCAATACTCCAAAAGAGTCTAAACACCTGTCATTCTCTTTCTGTGCCCTAGGCTCTTTGCTGTAAACTGAAGATTAAAATATTATTTCCTATTTCTTGGGGAAGAAAATTCACAGTCTCTAGGCAATGCTTAGAGTTAGGAAGATGAGCCTCCCCCTCCTTGGCCCCAATGATCCTTCCCTATCTGCCACCCCACTACCTTCATCACACACCAAACCGGGTCATTTGCATCACACTCTGAAGTCTACCAAAAAAAGAAGATATGTACTAAATTATGGGGAGGAAAAGGAGGGAAAATACAGAATGAGAGTTCAGAGAGAAAGATGAATTTTTTTTTAAATGAGAGGAAATGAAGAAGGGAGGATAGCATTAGGACACCATCTGGATAATTGAGAAAAATTAATAAGTTTTGCACAGAATTAAGTTGAATTGAATTAAATTGAAAAAAGTAATTCAATAGCTTTTCAGATTCCTTCCCAATGCACCTCAGGTTCTAAATACACCTACAAGGGAGTTTGAATACATTTGGAAATTTTCTACAAATCCTAACTCCCCATGATACTAATGC